ACTATTTCCTAAAATATATTATTAAATATTACAAGTAATTATTCTAAAAAGCATTAAAATTTAATTTAATAATTATTCGTAAACACATGATTAATTTAAGCACATTTTTTGATTATATAACTATACAAACTAATTGATGGAAAAATTATACAATCTTTTCAACTTATATTAAAACTAATTATAATTTCACTATTGTGTATAATATATTAATTATAACTAACATATTTATTATTAATTAACATATTTAATAATAGGGTAAATAATTTTTTCCAACCTGTACTATACGTGCTTTTGGGATTTTCAACCTAAAGTATTTTTTTTTGGTAAAATGCAACCTGAACTACATATATATAATTATTTGCACGCTCGACTACTTTTTGACCATTCGATCAACAGCTAAAAAGGACACGTGTATGGTCAAGATGTGGTCGAGCGTGCAAATAGTGATTGTATATATAGTTCAGGTTGCATTTTACAACAAATAATATTTTAGGTTGAAAATCCCAAAAGCACGTATAGTACAGGTTGGAAAATATTATTTACCCTTAATAATAACTACCTAAATCAAAAAATTAATTTAATTCTTTTTTTTTCAAAAAATTTAATATATAAATTATTTTAATTACTAAGAAATAAAAAAAAGTATATTTTCCAGTCGGTCGGCGGCTGAAGACGGAACTACCGGGGACGGTACGGCCGGCAGTGGTGGCCGCCTAGGGTGCGGCCGCAAGTCTTGGGTCTTGGTATAGGTGTCCTAGAGACAATCTTTTTAAGGACATATATACATGATCACATTAATAATTATATTGGATTATAATTATGCCATTATGGTATTGTAATTAATTAAATAATTATTTGATTTGTTTGCAATTTATTAATTAATTGCTCCCTTGAGTTAATACTTTCATTAACAGAGTGAGACAATGTTAATTGATAAAGTATAACTCTCAAATCGCCTCAATCGATGATCATTAAGAATAGGATATTAATAATACGTGATAGATTGATATGTTGTCTGTATCATATTCTTAGAGATCATATAGTATGACTCACTGCTATGAATAATTGTTATTTGTGATGGACACATGGATACTTTGGAGACTATTGGCATACCATACCAATAAACCATTTGTTTATATGTCTATGAGAGTATCGGTGTGTAAAATGATGTAATAGTCCTTTGGCTCTTGAGGTCAATATGCAATTCACGTATAGACGCTTATGCTCTTAAGGGTATATACGAGCTTGTGTTGGGTTGATCACGATATACATAGGTAGTTGAGTCAAGATAGGGTTCATTCCTCGAATACAGTTTCGAGAGAACACTCATTTTCTCTGTAATGGGTTGATAAAATCATTGGCTAATGCACGTAATTATATTTGAAATGGTGTTCAAATATAATTGATAAAGTCAACCAGTAAGATGAGATAAAATGATTAAGTTGTTTGGATATACACACATTCAAGTCTTAAGCTTAATCAGGTGGTTCGTGAATGAAGGACTGTATCACTATTGAGTTCTACACTAAAAGTTTGTTTGTTTTGTTCATGTAAACGTACTTCATATTTTGAGTTCGTCCTTCGACGCAGTTTAGGAGTTTCGTAAGGATCATAAATTAGATTTCTGTCAATAAATGAAGGCCTGTGAGGACACACAATAGGGTCGTGTCAGTGTCGTGTTTTTTACCCTGTTGGGGTCGTTTTAGTGTCGTGTTTTGTGTTGTTAGGGTATTACCCTGTTAGGTCGGTTCTAGGCGGTCTTTCGACTTGTCCTCTCAGTTTTATTCAGCTGGTGGTTGGGTGTGTATTCAGTTGGTGTCACATTTGTGCCTTTTATATATTATATCTATCGTTCCGGCAATAAAAAAAAAGTTAATCGAGAGTGTTAAATATTCAATTAGATTGTAATATTTATTTATGAGTAATGAGATTATTTTCTATTTAATTAAATTAAGTTGTTAACTAGTAATGAGATAATTTTCTATTTGATGGAAAATATTAAATTATATCAAATTAAATTTATACTTAATTAAATTAATTAATTGGATTAGATTCAATTACTTATTGGGTTATAGGGTCTCCTAAGGCCTATATGATTAGGTTTAACCTAATTATAAATAGTTCATTATCACATTGTAATTTTTAACAATCATTAGATGAAAGAAGAAGAGAGAAGATTTATCGTAAAAATAAAATACTCTCTAGATTTCTGGATCGTGAATTCCTAGCTTCTTCACCGGAAATGGTTCTTGGCGTTAGATCGTGCACCGGAAAACTGGATTGTATGGATACCATAGTCGAGGACAAACGACGAATAACTGTAAGTTTCCATGTGTCATTCACGCGATCTAGAATTATATCAAATAGCTGTAGTCGGATCTTCGTTGTTGGTAAGAAAAAATTTTAAAATTCCGCTGCGTGAACGTTGGGTTCATACATCTAAAATCCAACACTGGGCCGGTTGGGCGATTGCCGGCCGCGGTTGTGGGCCAGCCACTTCATAGAATGACCCTAATTTGTAATTAAAGTGTGTAAATTGGGGGAAAGAAAATGGTGAATAATAAAGAAGAAATTGCACTCCTTACAATAAGTAATGATAAATATTACACCTTTATACCAATTATTTTTTTATTTATATAATTACCAAAACAAGCATAAAATATTACACTTATACCTAAGATGTAGAATTATCAGATGTAACCGTTATTTAGCAATTATTGGGCCTAATTAAATGCAATTAGGATAATTAATGGAAATGAATTATAACCTTACCAAAATGAACGGAAAATAACATGTCTCTCCTATCCTCTCTATGCTATCATCTATATCTCTCTCTCTGCTATCTTCCATCTCTATTGTAGCAGAATCAAACATATTCATGCAAACTTGTAGTCATTTAGCAGATGAAATTGTGAAATTATGTTATAGAGAACTAGTGTGTGAGACTTGAGTTTGAAAAAAAAAAATTGTGTTTCCTTTTGATCTTCACTTTAGTGAAAAAGATTGGCATTTGAATTCAATACGCATGATTTTTCTTTTAGGTTTGCCGTTTGATGCGGATATCTTATTGCGAAAATTGAACTATTGAGAATCGATATCTAATTCTTGATGATAAATAATTTTGCTGATGATTTGTTGGATATATGCAGATACAATCATGTGCATTTCTCCCAAAATCTATGTCGCCATGGCGGTCGCTGGGATTTCGGACGGCGTGAAGGTCGGGCGTGGCGGCGGGCTCAGATCGCCACCCTTGTGGTGGTCGGGGCTTAGTTTGCAGCTTGCGCTTTTCCCTTCTTCTATCTTGTGGTGGGTCTAGACGGACAAGTCCTTCGGCTGGGGCGGCCCTCAGTCCCGGCAGAGGTGCTTCATACGCTTGCGTCAGTCCATGCATAACAAGGAACATGTTACTAATTTTATGATGTTCTCAATTTTCATCAGCGTTATCGTCGAGGGTTGCGGCGTTGCCATGGTTGGGGGATATGGTTGGTTGGGTTTGGAAAAATCGATGTTTGTTTTTTCGTTATACAAATTAGTGTATGATCAATATATGTACAATATATGTATAGTAAATGACAAGAAGAATCTGTCTCGTGTTTCCTAGAATTTGCCCCTTTTTTCTTCTTGTATGATTTGATTTTACTTTTAATAATAACAGCTTTGAGCATTAGTGGGTGTTTAAGAATTTATAACCTTTGCACATATGCGTTGAAAATATATATAATTCGAAGGTATATTTACAAAACCGAGTTGGGTATATGTTGGGTATATCCGAGTATATCCGAAGTAACTTTTCTCTGGTTATCTGTTTAATAATTCTTTTTTTCCTTGGGTTATATGTTGGGTATATCCGAGTATATCGGAAGTAACTTTTCTCTGGTTATCTGGTTATCTAGTGGGTATATCCCAGGTAACTTTTATCTCTATCCGAAGTATCTTTTCTCTTTCTATGCTATACACTTTGTCACTACCTTTCTGCACCTGTTGCACATTTTTAGTATATTTGAAGTATATTTTTGGTGTATGTCAGGTAATAATTCCCCCCCAAAATTTCGGTATATTAGAAGACATAATTTTTTCGGTATAAAATTTCACGTCCTCGTTTTTTTAGGTATATTTTTGCGTATATTTCAAGTAAAAAAAAAAGAAGACATAATTTTTTATTGTTCATTATATGTTGTATGTATATGGAGTATATGTTCAATATATGTTCAACATATTAAAAGATTTGTTTGTATATGGAATAAAAGTAAATGTTATAATATGTTTCTATATACTTTTATGTATAAAAGTAAAAAAAAAAAAAAAAAGATATAATTTTTTTGTGGAAGAGTTATTTTTTATTGCACATATACTGAATATGTACTAACATAAACTCAAAATATATCACCTGGCGGTTGCGTGAATTATATAATTTTTGCAACATACACTGAATATATACTAACATAAACTCAAAATATACTACCTGGCGGCTGCTTTGAATTACAATGTACAAGTTGCGTGAATTAAGGAATTAATAAATTAATCAGTTATTATTTTTCTTTTCTCTCTCTTAATCAAGTCCACAAAAAGGGGAATGAAAGTTATATGATAACTGCTATTGATGTAATCTCATAAATAAAGTAGTTTCATTAGGTATAATTAAAAATACTTTCATATGAAGATAAATTTGAAAATATTTGTAAATCTTATAGGAAGACTAAAAGTTTCCCAATAATAAACTTATGGCACTCAATAGATGTAAACTGTGTATGCTTTTCTCACGGGATAAATTCACCTGCCTTTTTCCAATTGATAATTCTATAGAATCTATACACGAAATTAAATTAAATTACAGGGACGGAAAAAAAATAAAATATACTGGGCATCAATTCTTATCCATTTTCCTGCGCCACGTGTCCACAGATTTCGGATTAAAACCCACAAGATTTTTTTCGGACAGCCGCCCAATGTCGTTTTGCCCGAAAGCACAAGGCTACTTCGTAAAATATCTGCCTCCCTCAAGTCGGCGTCCGAACCCGATTCGAATCGCTGAGTCCGATCTCCAAGTCCAACTCGCCCGTGGGCCCCACTCCCGACGGCGTCGTTGCGGCCGACCTCCTCCCCATGCTGAGTATCCTCCTCAAAGACAAAATCCGGCCCGCCGGAGAGCTCCAAGTCGACTCAGTCTCAAACTCGACCCGCCTCGGCGGCACCTCTATCCTGATGCCGGCCGGCCCCATCCCCTTCCTCCCCGCACCCAGAGACGCCGCGGTGCCGTCCGAATCCCCCGTCTGGGAAACGGAGCTCGATCCCGGTTCGGCCACATCGACTTTCTTCTCCGGTTCGGGAAGGCGACAGGTAACCGGCTCGACCGGGGAGCGGCAGAGTGGGCAGGTGGAGTGAGAGTGGAACCACATGTCTATGCAGTCGATGTGGAAGGAGTGGCCGCACTTGGGCAGCAGCCGGACGATCTCCCGCTCCTCGAACTCCGAAAGGCAGACAGCACACTCCGCCGGCGCCGGAGCCGGAGAGTAGAGAGAAACCGGGAGGGAGTTCAGAACCGCCCGGTCTAGGCCGCGGTCGACGACTGCAGCCGCGGAGATCCGGGCGTCGAGGTACATGACGATCTGGCCGCGGCTGAGGCGACGGTGGACGCGGCGGCGCTGGATCTGGCGGCGACGGAGGCGGACGACGTACCACCTGGCGTAGAGGTGGAGGGCCACCATGAAGACGATGACGGCGAAGAGGACGACGATGGCGCTCAGCATTATCCTCCCACTCAGAGCGTACTCTCTCCCGCCCTCCGCCCGAAAATCGCCGTTATCCCCCATGCAATTAACAGCC